GTCTGTGCACGTCAATAAGCTAGTTATAAACAAGAGGGTTTCTCCTCTAATGTTCCCAGTCCTTGCTACCACACTGGAGAGGACTGGACTAATGAAGATTTCCTCCTGTGAGCTCCATGAGGCATGTGCACTATTCCTTCTGAACTCATTACAGTGAACAGAACATACAGCAGAAAAAGCATTTTTTTTTTTTTTTTTGCTGGCTATAAATCATGAGTGACACTAAAGTATTGCTATTAGCAGGAGAAAAATGCTTTCCTCCCCCAACCTCATCCAGCCCTGTGTATGTACAACACTATGGCAAAGGGTGATGGGGTGTCTGGATGGAAAATTAAATAGAGGTTGTGTTGTCTGAAGATAAATTGGTACCTCCCTTGACGTGAGTGACTTTGTCTTTTTCTGATTTGTCTTTTAACTTAAAAAACACTGAGACTAGAGATAAGGATGAGCTTTAAAATCCTAGCCTTTGTCCCCTCCCAGGCTCTCCTGAACAAGTCCTGTCTCTGAAATGAGCTCAAAATGAAGATAAATGTTCTGGCAGTAATATGCAATATTATTTTTGGCATTTGAAGAATCCCAAGCTAGATAAGGGAAAACTGAAAGAAAACAAAGCTCTGGATTTTTCAAATGCAAGCGACCAAATTCTGCTTGCCCACATGAACCCAGAATCCTTTTTTTTCTTTCCAGATTATTGCAGCAATTCCTGATTTTCACCAGAGTAGCTGATTATGGGGCCTTATTTAAAACCCAGCACATTCAGAGACCCTGGTGGAATCACACAATAACACAACTGAAAGACAAAGGCACGAGAAGACAGTGCCAACTCCCAGCTCCTGCCCAAAGGCTAATTTGGTTTTGGACTGTGTTAGCTGTAACAATGATAAGATTAACACCTGATATCAAGGGAAAGGCTGAACTGTCTGAGACTTCCTTCAGCAGCACAGAACTCACTCCAGCTCCTCTGGCACATTAGCATATGTTAGAGGAATGGTCTCTTTCCTGGACTGGTATGTATCTCCCTATAGAGCCTTTGTGCAAAGCTCAGAGCAGTGTTTCTGCTGATACATTTGTGGGTATGTTGAATAAAACATGTGCCATTTGACATTGTTTGCTTGGGCTTCCATGGAGAATGGGAGAGGGCACCTGTTACTGTAAGGCAGAGTGCCATGAGAGGCTGAATCTGGCCTTTCCAGGAGCAGGATGAAGCCCAGGAAAATGCAGGAGCATGTCATGTTTCTGATTCTGAGAGAGCCCTGACCAAAGGACACAGCTGACCCTGCATTGATTGAAGTGCCAGCTGAATGTGTTACCTTAACAAGGAAAAGTAAAAAGCCAACAATACAAACCTTTGCTCTCTGTACGTGCATTGCCTCATTACAGACATGTATGCTTTGGAAATTAAATGGGAAGGGATTTTCAGAATAAGCCAAGTGTTTTAGAGGCAAAATTTCTAGTGCTTAGAAAGGCTCCTCTGTCCAAAGGACAGCCTGTGCTCTGCAAATTTCAATGTGCTTTGTCAAGACTGGAAGTTTGATAAGAGACTCTGGTCCACAAGAGCTCTTAGGGCATCCTGTTTTAAGGAACAACAGTCATTGATGCTGCTGGTTTTAAACTAAGAAGTTGTCACATCTCAGCTGTTCTTGGATTTGACTGGCATGTGAGGAATGGTGGCATGGAATAGCTAGAGGCATTGCCACCTGTTGTGTCTACTCAAAGTTAATAATTTTCTCGGCAATTAAGAACTGTGCAGTGGTACATTTTATGATACAAGATTTGTATGATGTGACCAGAAGGAGCATCCTAGCATAAGAAATAGGATGCTTCTAAAGGAATTCAGAATCTCACTCCTAAAAGCTGTGAAATATTCTCAGGTCAGTTCAGAGAAGCAGCATATTGAGAAGGATGTCAGCAAGAATCAGGAAGAGCCCTAGGGGAAATTCGTTTGGTCACCAGGTACAACACTGTCTCCCAGATAAGCTTTGATGAAACACTTGTTCATTTCATTTCTGTCACGGTGCAGTGACAGGAGTTGTTCTGTCCCTCGTCAGTGACACCAGGGCCAGCTCTGCAGACAGGAGCGTCCCTGGCCAGGCAGTCACGGATGTGCCTTTGGCAAGGAGCAGGCAGTGGGAAGACGACTCCAAGATTGTCTGTAAGTACTAAAGGACATGCCCTTGACACCCCAGAGCAGGGTCATGCCCTGCTCTGAGCCCTAAATAGTTCAAAAGCTGAAAGAGCTGCCAGTCTTTGGTTTCACTGAGCTGATCATGGCAGTAAGGCCATCTTTAGCAGGGTATTGATATTTGGGGAACCTTCATCCCCAAGAGATTTCTGTTTCATGGAAACAAATTAATTCTTGTCTTCTATGCAGTCACAATATTCAAAACACACTCTTTATCTACTCTGACACCCTTTGTTAAGCAGCTTTGCTTCCTTGATCCCACCTTCTCTTGTTCTGTTTGGTACTGGACACTAAGGATCCTTTCCCTCAATAGAGGCATCACAGTTTTCCACAGGAATACACACAGTATGCACCACTAAGAGCTGGTTTCCTTGCCAGCAGTGGGTGTGGAAGGTTGTAACTTTTTCCAATGGCAATGAAAAAACATCAAGCTCACTGGCACAAATCTATCAGTGAAGCTGCACTAGTGTATTAAACAGAGCAAACAAGAACTTTGCTGTTACCTTTCAAGTAAATAGTTTCTCCTTCTCAGTTTGCTCCAGCATAAAAATGCCTCTGCCCTGTACATGCCACTGCCAGTATTTCTTCTTTAAGAATTTGGATCTATTTATTTATTTATCCATATTTAGTTTAAAAGTCTGGGCTCAAAATTAAACAGTCATTCATAATGTCGTTATCTGCCTTGCTCTGCAGTTAGATACTGTGTGTGGTGTCACAGGACAAAACCTTTGGCAAGGCCTCTAGAAGAGCAATTTAGCTCCTCATCCATCTTGCCTGGCAGCATGATTGGCTTCCAAGCTTGCACTGCTAAATTTGTTATTTTACTCTGACTTATATTATTGAGTGTTAAATCACTTTCTGAAGTGTTTATTGGTAATAGTTGAATTCTTTCCACCCATTTGAACTACTTTTAAAACATAAACATTTCCTTGCATCTTGGAGCTTGATGGAAAGGTGGGGAGAGTTCCTCAGGAGGATGGGCAGTAGAAATTACCAGCTCATTAAGTAGGGACAGAATTTACCAGTGCTGTGGAGGAGAATATCCTCCTCCTTCCATCAGGATGGAACAGGAAACTCCCACTGCCACTCCACAGCACTCACATGAGGAAGGCTAACTTGTGTCTTGGTTCTCCCATCATGTCTTGGCCTGTCAGGAAGCAGATGACCTGTTAACTGGAACACCAGTGAGCTCCTGACAGGATCTTTGTAGATCCTGAATCTCCCTGGACAGAAGGCCAGGCTGTGACCTGCAGGGCCAGGTGCTGAGGAGGTTATTAGGCACCAACATGCCCAAGCTTTCAAGCGTGATGCTTCCAAGTGTGAAGTGTGGTCTGCAGCCCCTCCCTGGCACTGAGGTCTCTTGGGAAGGAACCAGAAACAACTTTCTTATACCTATTTAGGAAAATGGAGCAGAGAGCAGAAATAAACAAAGAGCTTAAAATCTACTGTGGCAGTTAGAAGCTGAGCAGGAGAACAAAGGCCAGAGGCAGGTCAAGCTAGAGAGAAGGCAGAGTTTCAAATAATCCATTTGGCAATTGATCTCTTGAGGACCCAGATGTGACAGCCCAGCAGTCTGATCCAGCCTGGTGTACTCAGTACTGCAGGTCCTCTTACCTCTTGCCCTTGCTTCAGTGAAGACCTACAAATCAAAATTTTTCTTTTAATTTTATTTTTCATGAGGAGATCTGTTGAGTCTCTTTCCTGCATCTAGGAGTTACTTTCCAATCTGATGAACACTGACTTTTAGAGATGACACCAAGATCACAGTAGCAATCAAGACTCCTTTGATGGCAGAGCTAAAAATACACTCGCCAGCTGACAGAAGCCTTCAGGAGGAGAACATAGAGTTTGGTTTGAAAGAGCACATCTTCCTTAGTCTCCATGTCTTCTGCCAGAGGACACCAAATCTACAAAAACCATGTAAGCAAGTTAAATCTGTCTTCTGAAAGGAAGCACCCATATACAGACCCATACTACCTTCAGCCTCAGCAGGGGGAAAGCTTTAAACCCTCTGAGTGCATTGGAGAATGGTTTCATTGGCAGTTTTTTGTCTCTCTGGTCATGTTGTCAAGTTATTGCATGGCAGGAGCCACATCTTTATCTGCTTGCCCTTGACAATCCCTTAGGAAAGGGAAGATCTGGGGCAGCTGATGGACAGGACTGAAACTGAACCTATCGGTTTCCCTTTGCTCTCCTCCCTGCTAGTCCCAGGGTGCTGGCACACAGGCCCTGGCTAATGAGGCATTCCCAAAGCCCTGCTCCTGCACTTGGAGAGGAGACTGTGGTAAGTAGTGCCACTGCCACCTCCCGGGCTTTGGGAGCACTTGAGCGCATCCCGTGGGTTGCAAATGCAGATCTATGCAAACGTTGGGCAAGAGATCATGGATTGCCCAGCTTCAATCTGTGCCAGCCCTCTCTCTCCCCAGGTCAGAGGAGTGATGGCACTAACAAGCAGGTGCTTGCAGAACAGAGTGCAGGTCTCCATCCCCTTGGAGGCATTAGCTAAGATGGATCATTAAGGCTTTAGGGTAGGAGACGTACAGATGAACAATCACACACAATATCAGCTCTACATTTGTAATGTGTAATGTGTAATGTGTCAGGGGGTAAAAGGTTGAGCAACCCACTTTGGCAAATGGAAATAGCAAGAAGGGTGTATTTTTCTGGCTAAATAAAAGCCTTCTCTGTGTGTTATTTTTTCTTGTGCCTCCATGCATAACTTGAACGCAGTGAAAGGAAAATTAATTTATTTGCTCAGACAAAAATACACCAGATTTATTGTTTTGAGAGATACAGGGGGTATTTCATATTTCTACATGGCTGCTGTGGCTATAATTGGCAGCACAATGTTCTGTCAAAAAAAGGCTTTCACCCAAGAATGTCTCTGGGCCCAGTCAGCCTCAATCCTGGAGGTGATGTCCCATCCCTAAACCTCTGTGGGCAGTGCTCCATTGCCAGCAGTCTGTTTGATGCTCCCATTTAGGGTGTTGGCCCTGAAGATGTAAGACCTCCCCCTAACTGAGCCTTCAGTGTGGATGCTCTCGGGCTTGTTCTGGCAACGGAAGAACATAAGGAATCCATTCCTGTAGTTCTTGTTCATCCATCCATAGAGCAGGGGGTTGACAAACGTAGAGCACATGGCCCCAACGTGGAAGACAGTGTACAGGAGTTTGTACTCGTGGAAGATAAGAACCAGATCAAGATCAATGGCAAGCTGGAATATGTGGAAGGGGAGCCAGCAGACTGCAAACACCACAACCACCATCACGAGCATTTTGGTTGTCTTCCTCCTCCGGCACTGGTTTTCATTCCTAGAAGTGGGACTGACATGGTTTTTCAGCTTGAACCAGATCCTGGTGTAGGCATAACAAATAATGGCAAGAGGAAGAACATACTGCAGGAGGAGCATGGACAGACTGTAGATGGTGGCATCTCTGTTGTTAGCAGAGGGCCATTTTTCTGAGCACACAGCCATTTTGAGGTTAATGGACGGGATTTCCTCGTACCGGTACTCCCTGAAGATGGCCAGGGGCCCTGCTAGGACAGCTGCTGCCAGCCACATGACAGCTATGATGGTGAAGCTGAGCCTCTTGGAAATCCTGCTGTCCAGGTGGAAAACAATGCAGCGGTACCTGTCCAGGGCAATGACAGTCAGGGTGAGAGTGGACACGTGGACACTCAGAGCTTGAGCATAAGGAACCAGGTGACAAAGCACAGCTCCAAACTTCCACTCATCCAGCAGGGTGTACACCAGGGTGAAGGGCAGGCAGAGTGTGTCCACCATCAGGTCTGCCAGGGCCAGGTTAGCTATGAAGAAGTTGGTGACAGTCCTCATGGTCTTGTACTTCACTATGATGTAGATGACCAGGGAGTTGCCGATGAAGCCCAGCAGAATGATGAGGGAGTAGGCAGCAATCAGGATGACCTGGACCCCCAGGATCTTGGTGCTGTCCATCATGACACTGCGGGACCCAGAGAGGGCCTGGGTGGGAGTGACAAAGTCCTTGGCAGGCCAGCCCTGTGACAGCTTCTCATCTAAGGCTGTCTTCTCCATGGTGAATGAGCTGTTGGCTCCCTCCAATGGTCCCATGCCTGGCCTGAGACTTTCCATAAGGAGGAGAAGGGGGTCTGGAACACAGACATAGCAGAAGTGAGAGCACAGGTTGCACTCATCTTTGATGAGGTTTACTCGCCTACAAAAATTCCCTAACACCTTAAGAACAAGGAAAGAAGAGAAACACAGCACTCTCAAAGTCAAGGTGTTCTTCTCCACCTCCCTGTGACAATTTATTTATTTCCAGATTGTGCACCAGGTTTTTTTCTATTTCTTATTTCTCACCTCTCCAGGTGAAAATATCTGTCCCCCTTGCCTCTGCATAAGTCTTTGCCACTGCTCCTGAAAGTGATGGTACCACCCAATGCACCCAGTACTGTCTGCTCTCCCTCCCAGTAATGGGTAGCACAGCTAGTGCCATTTCATGAGCCTCTCTCTGTGATCAAATGTGTCTCACAGCCATTCCCTGGCCCTCATTATCAGGCTCTCAAGGCCCTGTGGAACAACTTGACAAACCAGTTTTCTTCTTCCTTCCCCTGCCAGTCTCAGGGTTCCCAGGCATCAGGCAATCCTGTCTGCCCTGCTGGCACCCAGCCAGGCAGGTGCTGTGTCCCCATCACAGGAGAGGGAAGTGTGACAGCACTCAGAGCACAGTTACAAGTCCTAAGTAAGGAGCTACTGGACAGTGAGACCCATGAATCCTATGGCCAGGAGACACCTCCACCATCCTCTGCTTTCTCCAAGGCTTCAATGAGTGGCTCATATTCCTTTATAGGATTTTTGAGTCGAGATTATGATTGTTACAATGATACAACAAACCATGTATTAGGATTTGGCCCAATCTGAAGAGGGTCCAAGTGATTATAAATTATAAGTTGAATTATAAATTCTCTATTACTTAGGTGATTAGGAATCATAAATTATTTATAAATTCTGCATTTTGCTATTTGTAGATTGTACTAGGTTGATTCTCCTTGTAGAAATCTTGTGCTGTTTCAATCATAAATTCAGCTAATCATAATACCCTGATAAAGAAACGAAGCTTTAACTGTCACCATGATTTAGAGCCATCTCCATTCTGCCCAGGATCCCTAAAAAGAACCTCTCTGTCCCTCTCAGTGTTGGTGACACCCAAGCATCCTCTGGCTTAGCAGAGGAGGGAGCTCCTACAGGGACATGGATGGGCCAGGGATAAACCACTGAAGCTGTGACCAAGCTCCCACAGAGCTGCTGCTGAGCACCCAGGCACAGAGAGGCCAAGAGCCAGAGCCCAGCATCCCTCAGCCTCCTGCCAGTGGGGCTCAAGGGCCTGTGTGGCAAAACATTGCCTTTTCTCTGACCTGCAGAGGGGGCAAAATGTCCTTTCACTAAGGGAGGGAGGCAAAGAGCTTAAATGAAGTGGGAATTAGAGGCAGACTGCTGAGTATCTTCTCAGGATCTTCGAGGAAGGAACTGGGTTTGTCTCAGAAAAGATGTGAGCACTGCTGGGTACTGGTGGGCTTCCTGCAAGTCCCATGCAAGCCAGCCTGTCCTTGGGAAGGGAGAATGCTTTGCAACTGCATTTCCACCTAAGCTAAAACATCTGCTTGTCCTGTCATCCCTCCTCAGGGCAAGGGTTGTGATTCCCCCCAGGAGCTGCTCCCAGGAATCTGTCTGGGCATGTGCAAAGCCAGGACCCTTCTGAGGCCCAGAGAAGAGCTGCCTGCACTAAAACCACCCCTGCTGGACCCTTTCTCCTTCTCTCTCCCTGCCCAGTGCCTGCCTGACATCTCACTCTGCAGACTTGATTCGTGCCAGTGGTTCCTGTAAATGAGGTTGTTGGGCTCAGACACTCTGAGGTAGGGGACATGTAGCTGCTGCCAGGAGGGTAGGAAGCAAAGTGAAGAATGGGTGGATCTGCTAGGGCCAGGGTTTGTTTGAGGGTGATCTCAGACCTCCACAACACCCCTGCCTTGGGAAGACCAAGGGAAAGCTCAGGTTCTAAGAGAGGAGAGAGGAGCTCAGAGCTGTGCCATGCAGTGGTGCAGGGGAAAGCAGAGCAGGGGAACAGGGCCCTGGGGAGGTGGCACAGCCACAGCCCCTTGGCTGACACCCGTGCCCTGAGCAAACCCCACTGCCAGAAGAGCAAGTTCTGGGGACACTTTCAGTGACTGCACTTTCCCTGCTTGCCACTCATCTGGGATTTAAACCTTCTGGATTGTCCAGCATTATCACTTGTTATTGCCTTTTCTGTGGCTTGCCTGTTCCATTTATCTTCAGCAACAACTGCTGGCACCAGGCCAGTGGACACTCCCTTCTCTTTTTCTCCATCTCATCCACCAACTGGCTGCCAGTTCCTGTGCTCACATCTCATCCCATTTCCCTTTGCTGGAGACTGGCAGCTGCCCACCATCTGAGAGGAGCCAGGAACATTGTGGCTGCTGGAGCTGCTTCCCTTCCTAACAAAATGGCCTTAATGGAGTCACTATTTGATTTTGTTTGTTTTGGGTTTTTTTCTCCAAAGGGGAACGATTACAAATCAATTAAGACATTTTAATTAAGAGACAAAATGATTATAATAAATGTTCCCACTCCAGGAGCTGCCTGGAGGTCGCTGGGATGCTGCTAGGAGTGGACTGAGGTCTGTTCCAGCAAGTAATGGAAGTGCTGGCATATGTGTAGGCTGCTGTCAGGCCCCATGCCTAACAGGCCTGCCAGACTAGATGAAAAAATCCTTGGAGCTGAGAGCCAACTGTTTTTGGGACAAGACAGCAGCAGGAGAGACCAGGAGGAGGCAGAAGCACTATCCAGGTCCCTTCCTCTGTGCTGAGTTGCCATGAAGGGATGCAGAATCAGAGTGCTGCCTGTTTCAAGATAACCCTCACCCTCACCTGAGGCAGAGCTGGGACCCAGGGAAGGCTCCCAGTGAGACAGAGCTGCCCCCTGTGCCAGCAGGACTCAGCCTTTGGGAAGAGAGGCACAGAGGGGCCCTTCACTGAGCACACTGCTGCCACTGACTGGGACAGTGACCAAGTGACAGCTCCATTCCTGCACAGGGCCCAGACCAGCTGCCCTGGGACTCATCCATGTCTGCTTCCTGGGGCACCCCAGCTCCCTCCATGTCCCTGCTGCAGCCCCAGGCATTCAGCCAGGCTGGAAGAGGCACACCCAGACCTGGGAGAGCCATCTGTAAAGGCTGGCAGGGTTCAGAAAGCGAGGCTGGAGGGGTGGTCAGAGGGCTGGAGAAAACAGAGCTTGTTAATTAGAATTTCTCTTTTTTGTCCAAGCAGTGAGGCTGGAGTCCATGGCCTCAAAGGAGGGAGTGAAGGGACTTGGGCCAGTTCTGCTCTTTGGTTAATGACAAACTCTTTCTACAGCAGTGCTGGGGTGTGAGGGCTGAGACTGATGGATACTTCCATGGCTTGACTCACTGATTTATTCCATGCTCAACTCCACCAAAGCCCTCAATTTCCAGCAGCCCAGTCAGGAGCACTGACTCATCTCCTCCCCAGACCCATATCCAGACAGACATCCACGACAAGGAGGTCTGAGACCATCCCTCATCACGAGAAGCTGGTGGCCACCCTGGGACAAGCCACCTTCTACCACCTTCATGTTCCCTTCAAGATGCAGCAGAGTTCAGTGTCCCTGCATCCCACAGCACAGCACTTAAGGGAGGACAACACAATAAATGGGGGTATGGAGGTTAACCAGCAGACAGGACTCTGCATCTCAGCATAAAACCTGAACATTGATCTCAGGAACTGCATGAAAATGCAAAATGTGACTGATGGAGGGGAACGAATTTTATCTTCTCTGTGCAATGGGCAGTTTCAGGACAAACAGCAGCTCTGGATGATTTCCTGAAGCCAAAGCACAGACAGAAATTATCCCAGCTCCTTCTGTCTCCAGTGAAGGGATGATTGCCTTGCTATGATACTCCAGCAAAAGAGAAGACCCTCTGACCATCCCACCATCTGCTGCAGCTTTGTAAGTTATCTATCCAACGCAGGGCCACTGCTGCAGAAACCTCATGGCATCAGACACTCACTGCCACCCAGAACTGCTCCTGGGGACCCCAGTGTACAACTGGCACTGGGAGACAAAGTGCAAGGATGAGGAACCACAAAAACACCAGGGAGTTCTTGTGGGTCCTCACACTAAATATTTTCATGTCCCAGCCTAGCTGGAGCCATGGTAGACTCTGAAGGGGACAGGGCAATGAGGATGCCATAATCACCCAGCTCAGGACAGGATGAAAAAGGAGGTGGTGAGATCTGTTTGGCAGGCATACATGCTTTCTCATGGGAATTTATCCTGCAGAAAGCAGGGGGGAGCAGTGCAGGGCCTTCTGCCCTGTGGGATGTGCCATGGGAGCAGAGCAAGGCTGGCTGGGACACAGGGATCAATGGGTGACACTGAGATAGAGACACACCAGTTGCTGGGGCTGCAGAAAGGGAGAGACAGCATTGTGGATGGATCCTGGTTAACCTGGGGAATCTGTTACCTCCTGAAATTATGGAGTCTGGGATAGGTGAGGCAGTGGAGCAGAGGGAAATAACAATTCACTGACAGAACAGAGAAAACACAGTATCCTGCTTTGGGACAGACCAGAAACTCTGTAGGTGAAATGCATCTACAGCAGGACTGTAAGAGGATTTCTCTGTTCCAGGACTGACATGCAATGGGTGCTGAGAGAAAGCAAACACTAATTTTCCTTCTCCATATCCCCTCTGCATCTCCCTCTCTGAGGACCCTAATCTGTGGCAGAGAGCCGAGTGCCAGCAGGGTGTGCAGCCCCAGCACGGAGGAGCTGACAGGTTTGTGCCAAGCCACGAGGAGGCAGAGTGCAGGAGAGATCAGGATTGCTCAGACAGCCCTCACCTGCACCTCTGGAGCTGGATGTGCCCGGGTTCTGCAGCACCCTGGAGCTCTCCTGACTGCTCTCACTCAGCATCCTGCTTCCCACACTCCTGCTTCTGCTCTTTCAAAACTCTCCTGTCAGTATTTCCTTTGCTTTCTCTATTCCAGCTCTCAGGGCTGTTAGTCCCCAAATCCAGTTTCCCACAGATTCTTGGACCTTTTCTGCCCAAACCATCTGGCATGGACAAGACCTGGCCCCCTCTCAGCCCTGCTGCTCAGATGAGCCCCCCTTGACCCACCTGCAAAGGCCAGAGCTTCCTCCTCCTCCTCCAGGAGCCGAGCTGCTCCCTGCAGTCACTGCCTCATCGCTGGCCAGGACGGAGCGCTTGGTCCTCTCCGCTCTCTGGAAGTCAACCTGTGGCAAAGGAGTGAAAAGCACTTTTGTGCAAGTGTCCTTGGAGAAGAGAGGAAGTCAGGTGAGGATCTGGGCTGCTGGAGAGTGTTTCATGGCCAGGAGAAGCTCGGGCACCTCTCTCTGAGCAGGCTGAGCCCCTGTGGCAGGGTGACTGACAGCCCTGTCTCACGAAGCTGGATGCTGCCTTGGCTCCTGAATGAGAGAAAGGCAGAGAGCGTGTGTTTAACAAACAGCAAGGGAAAGGGGGAGGGAGCCTGCTGCTGCTGTTTATACAGTGTTCAGCCACTGAGGGGCTTCTTGCATCGAGCAGAGAGAAGCTTTGCCACCACATCCAGTTTCCTCTCCAGAGAGAAGCGCTGGGAGCTGGAGCTCTGCAGGCTCCCTGTCCATACCACGGACCTGGGCAAGTGTTGTCTGCCCTCACCCCACAGCTGCCCCATCTCCTCAAGCTTTCAGCTCATTGGGACTGGCACAGTCATGTCCAGAGGGGGCTCTCCCCTGCAGCAAGAGCTCTGCAGGTCCTGCAGCTCAGCAGAGCTTTCACAGGCCTCCCTCCACCCTCCTCTGTCCCAGTGTTTGCACAGGGCTCAGAGCAATCTGCAGCTTTGGGATGGGACTCCTGAGATACACACAGAAGTAATACTGAAAAGTTTTAGCCACTTTGCAGTGGCTTGGTCTGCTCCAGAGCCAGATTCATTGTGGATGTGGAAACCACATGAGTGATTTTCAATTTTAGGATGCTCAGCACTGTCCACACACCTGAAGTAGGAAAGAGGGAGGGACAGAAAAGCAGCTTCCTCCTGTCCAAATCTGCAAAAGGAAAGCACTCTAAAGCAACACAGGGAAGAGATAAGCACAGATAAGACCCACCCGTTCAAAGATTTTGCCCTCAAGGAGAAGTCATGTGTATTCTTAGCATAAGATTTCCAACTGAGGCAATGTGTGAATTTGCAGTTCACCTGGGCCAGGAGATGCTCCCACAGGCTAAGGAGAAGGACAGCTCTCCTTGGCTTTGAGTACTTCCAGCTGGAATTTTATCAGAGAAGTCTTGCTCTTTACCCCCACAGTGAACTTTGGTCTCCTTTGCTTTGTGAGAACGGAAACAGGGAGGCTTTTCAAGCACCCCTTTGTGCCAAAAATTCACAATACACCAGGAAAAAGAAAACACTCTAATGGCTCAGCAGAAAAAGAGGAATGAGAACATTCCTGACATCACATGGAAAGTGACACTTGAACCCAAGACTTGGACAAGAGTCCTTATAAGTCCCATCTTCCCCCTCATCTCTCTGTCTCCCCTTCAGGAGGAAAGGACTAGACATGAAATCCACCAGCTGCGCTAACTGGATTTTTGTGGGAGTTTCATGTTTTCTCCCCCTTCATTTCCCCTAAGGCTGTTGATTTAGCTGCTCAGGAAAACTGGGAGTGGAGAGAAGCAGGACAAGACAGAACTGCTTGGAGAGAGCCATTGCTGTGTCCCAGGGGGTGCAGAGAGGGAAGGAGCAGCAGTGAGTGGAGCATTCTGCTCCCCTGTTCCCAGTGATGGATACTCCTCCTCTCCAGGGTCCTCAGCAGTGGATGGTTGATTTCAGCTCAAGATTATTTTTTTCCTCCTTTCTCTTCCGTGTGAGACCTTCCTTGCTTGTTCCCCAGATTCCTTTGCCACCACTCCCCATTTTTCTCTTCTCAGGGCTGAAATGAGATGCCTGGGGAGAAGCAGTGATTGACAGGAGAGAAATTTGTGCAGCCTGGGGCTGTGAACCTTCATTAGGACCATGGGGTGAATTCCTGTCATTTTTGGCACTTGGTCTTTGCTGGATGATAGCAAATGCAAGCTCTTAAATCATGGATGAGTCAGTGCAAGTCCCCAGGATGTCCTGTCCCACATCTCAGGGGTCCAGGGGAGTACCAAAACCTGCTGTGCTCCCAAGCATCACCTCAGCTCTTCAACCAGACATAGCAGTGCAAAAAGGTGCAGCTGAGCCCTCAGCACACCTGGACTGCCATCCCAAATGGCACCCACCAATCTGGAGTTTGGTCCCAGCCCCTGGGTGCTGCCCAGCCCTGTCCCTGGGGTCAGGCTCCTCTCACAGTGCCACAGACAGGGCTGCCTGCCAGTCTGCCTAACCTCACCCAGCCACAGCACAATTGCAGCAGCAGCAGGGGCAGCACAGCCCTGGCTCCTGCACAGGGGAGGGACACCTGGGGGCTGCAGTGCCAGACCCTCTCACTCCTGGTGGGTTCAGAGGAGCAGTGGTGGCACAAACTGCAGCACCTGAACACCAAACAACCTCCCCACACAGCTTACAGATCCCAAAGCAGCTGAGGGTCTTCCCAGCCCCAGCCAGCAACACTGAAGGAGGAGGATGGGGGAATACAAAGATGGTGCCTTGCATTGTCCTGGGGTGTGGAAGCTGTGCAGTCCCGAGCAGAGATGCCAGGACCCACTGCATGCTCTGCTGTCACCTCCAGCCTGGGGTATTCTCACACACAGGCTGGATACCCACAAATGCCTGCATGGGTGTCCCAGGAGCCTCATGTCCTTCCAGGCACGATGGGATCATTCAAAGCATCTTTGCAGCTCAAAAGCCTTTCCCAGTGGTTGGGCTTTTATTAGGCAGTGAGTCTGCTCACCCGTGCTTCTGAGAAATACAACAATGAATTTCGTGCTCCAGGGAGCAAAAATGATGTCAAAAGGCTGAGAAATGGGGCAGAGAAGAGAGCTGTCTTTTGGCCTGTAATCTGCTGTGCCTCTGTGAGCAGGCAGGTTCTCAGTCTGACCACCCTGCAGCTGTAAGCCATCTGCTGTGGCTTCACTTGTGTCAGAAGAGGAAGGTGGATTATCTGTTCACTCCCTGGGAGGAATCTCTAAGAAAACTGTTACCAAGGCTTCCAGATGCTCTGGTTCATCCTGCTTCATCTGGAGCAGCAACAGTGACATACTTAGAAAAGCAGCTTTTCATTTTTTAAACATCTGTTTAATTCCACCTGCATGTAACCAAAACATTTCCACTGCTCCTTCCTGAGGTGTCGTGCCTGTGTTTTCCTGAGCAGCCTCCAAAGCATCAGCAAGTTTTGGTAACACAAAAGCCCCTTTTCCATCTGAACCCCAGAGTTCACGGATGCAGTGGATTTGGGAGTCTGATGCATTTGGGAACTAAATCAGCCACAAAGAGACTCAGGGGTGGGAGGGCGGATGGAAGCTGTCTGTACCTTCTCTGAATTTAAAAACAGATTCTCATTTCATAACAGCTTTTTGTCCCTGTGTGAACATTCCTGGAACTAGTGAAGGAGCAGAGCCACCATCAGGGGCAAGGTTTGGCTAAAATATCTGAGTATCTGACAGTGATAGTGTCAGGGAGAGGCACTGGAGAAGCAGGAGGAGAGATGAACCATGGGTTGGCCTGGGACTGGCCTGAGTCTGCCACAGCTCTGCTCACCCTCAGGGCAGGCAGAAGTCAGGGATGCTGGGTGTGTCTGCAGGATGAGTGAGTCAGGAAGGAGATGATCATATGGAAAAAGATTTATGGGATTTGTCCGGCTGAACACATCACACATCACCACACCTCAGCTCTTGCCCCACTAGGGGCAAACCCACAGGGCTCCTCTGATTAAACAATTAGTGCCTAGGAAGGTTTACCCCTTTCAGCCCCTTCCCACCCCTGGATCTCACTCTGACACACAAAATCCCCTTGATCATCCTCACATCAGGACAGAAGGACTCCAGGCAGTTTGTCCAGGCAGACATCAGCACTGCTGAGCCCAGAACTGGCCCCTGCATTTAGCTGCCATTTCTGCAAGTCACTGCACTCAAAGCTTTGTTAATTTATTAGAGGGTTGCTTGTTGTTTGTGTACTGAGCCAGGTAGAAAACAGCTTCTGCAGAAGAGGATAATTGCAGTCAGATAAGCTCTTCAGAGCCGGGATTGCAAAAATACGATACGAGGTAGACCAGCAGTTGTCTGGGTGAAACAGAAACATGGATGAGATTTTGGGTTGGAACGTGTTGCCCCCATCTCTCACAGACTCCCTGTCTGCCTTTGGGCAAATCAGTTGATATATATCAGTTCTCTGTACATAAAAAATGTTATAAAAATGCTTCACTGTGGCAAACTCACCCCTGGAGCAGAGGACCTGGTGCTTGGGTGTGCAGCAGAGGCAGCTGTTTCCCACTTTGCCCTGTGGCATTTCTTTCTAAGTTGCCCATCTCATTTAGGCAGCGTGTTCTGTCATCAGGGTCTTGCTCTCCCAGACTGGATACTCCTGCTGCACAGTTCCACAAAGACATTTTTGCCCAGGCTGTCACTCCTGAGATGACAAACAGCTCTATAAATGCTGGATTGTGCGATGAGAACAGGCAGAGCTGGATGGGCTGATGGCAGCCCCAGCCTAAACTCTTCCAAAGTGTCAAGACTGAAAGTGATGCAAGTGGCTGGAAATTCAGAGCATGACTTGTCTTCTCTGGGCTTGGTGTTGCCAAAAGGCACCAGGTACCCAGGAGCTGTGATCCAGGTCTCAGCACCACCGTGGCAGCAGCAGGATCATGTTTGCTCCTTCACTGCCTCATTCCATCTTTTCTGGTCCTGTGGGGACCCACATCAGCTGAGGGCAGGGAGCAGGTTACCTGTGGGCTGGGCTGGGCTGGCAGCACTGTGTGGCCCAGGAGGGTCAGATCCGCTCCTGATTTAAACCCAGGGATTTGGCTGAAAATCCATTTGGCTTCGTGCTCCCCAGAAACATGACTCACAAGCCATGTCTGACACTCAGAGATAGGTATGACACCGAGTGCCCCACGGGGAAGAGCTGTGTCCCCAGGGTGTGAGCAGAGCACACAGAGCTGAGCAGAGCCCGTGCTGGAAAGCACAAAGCCTTATAAAGGCAGAGCTCTGGCTTTGTCCTTCTCCCAGCTCTTCAGGCGATGAAAAGGACGACTCACAGCCCTAATTAACTGGAACATGCTAATACC